TCTGTCTGTTTGAGACAGGGTCTCGCCATGTAGTTCAGGCTGTCCTTGAGCTCACTTTGTAGCCCAGGCTGGTCTCAAACTCACAACGATCCTCCTGCCTCAGCCTCCCCAGTGCTGGGATTACAGGTGTGGACCACCATGCCAGCCATTGCATGCTTTTGGATTCACACACTTCGGGATGAATTCCTGGGAGAGATTCTAGAAAAGCAGGCTCCTTTGATCTAAAGAGTGTGGGCTCTGGAGCCAGAACTCCTGAGTTCCCAGCCAGGGGTTGAGAGAGGCAAGTGGCTTATCTCTATTTAGCCTCAGTTTTCCATCTGCAGATAGGGGTCATATCAGTTTTTCGTGAGGATTAAATAAGTTAATGCATGCCAGTTACTTACAATAGTACCCACTAGATAATAAATGCTTAGACAATGCTTTTATTGTTATTATTGGGTTTATTAGACCGAAAGGTTTTTATGTTCATTTTAAAGGGTTTAATACATATGAGCAAATTGTCATTCTAAAAGATTATAATTTTTTTTTACTTTTACCAGCAACATATGAGAATACTTATTTTATTGGGTTTGCTGAATTCTTAAATTGCTTAGATTGCTTCAGATTTGTCTGTCAAAATGTGAATCACAGAAGCAGTAATGTTAATTTTAGTAGAAATTTTCTTTACTGTAAATCCTGTCAGGAAATCTGTCAGTTTCTTAGCAGACCAGTTCTGCCTCTCTATTTTGACATCCACAGAATCAGCCAACCACTGCTTGAAAATATTTGGGCCAAAATTTACATCTGTACTAAACATGTACTGACCTTTCCCCTTGTCCGTATTTGCTAAACAATGTAGTATGACAATTGTTTACATAGCATTTACCTTGTGTTATGTATTATAAATAATCTAGTGGCGATTTGAAGTCTAAAGGAAGATGTACATTTTATGTAACCCCCTTGAGCATTGTGGATTTTGGGGGTCCTGGAACCAGTCTTCAACAGGTCCAAGTGACAGCTGTGCCTTTAATTTCACATGAGGTATAGCTATGTCCCATCTTTGGGGGGTGCTTGGGGGTCATTCTGTGTAACAGTCCATGAGTTTCCTTGTAGAATGTCCCTTGTGTGGGGTCCCTGCAGAGCTCCTCATGATTTCAATCCAGCTGTGCATCTTTGGTGGAGACATCACAGAAGTGAACTTGTGCCCTGGTAAGGGTGTGCTCAGGCAGACCTGGGCCTGAGTGTCCCGTGGCTGGTTAACTGGGACGACAGGATGAAGTTTCTCCACTGCTATCACTCTTCTCCCTTTGTAAATAGCGTTCACTGGACCCAGGGGTGGCCACGAGTGGCTGTCCTATGGGCCCGCATCCATGTCATCGTTCGTTGGCTTTTAGCCCCCTAGTGGCATTTTTGTTTTCCTCTAAGGAAGCTTGTATTTTGAGGCCTTCTTATTCTAGGCCTGGGAAACTATAGATATTTCAGGATCTATTGTCATAATTTTGAACCATGGGTTTTTCATAATAGTACCTTCTGAGAGCCTGGTTTCAGTTCACCTTTAGGAACATAAACAGCTCAACTAGATCCAAACAAAGCAGGGAGGTGGTTGGTCATTTTCTGTCATTTTTCAGCCTTGTCATTGGTCCCCAGGGGACTTCTGTATTTGAAGGTGTCCTCCTCCTTCCCTTTCTTGCTTCCTGCCAGTGCTGATGGGCACAGAGATGAGCGCACATGCCTGAGTGGACAGGCTTGGTACAGTGCAGTCCGGGGCCAGGCCTGTTTGTACACTAGGGTGCCCCTTTGCTGGAAGTGGTCAGTGACCTTTTAGTCAGTAGCCAGTCATCTCTTTCGGTGGCCTGCCTTTCTGTAAGCAGTCTGGATTTGGTTTTTTTTTGATCTTCCTTGCCCTCCAAAGAAAAGGCCCCAGATTGCCCGGGATTCTGCCCTCAGCCCTGCTGCTCAGCCCTGGTGTTCGTCCTAAACTTCACACGTTCAGACTCAGCATCTGCCAGTGCTCCTGAACCGGCTTTCCTGCAGTCTTCATCTCAGTTGAGGGCACACCACTGGTTCAGGTGGGTGAGAGGCCTGATGGGACCTTGAGTCCTCACTGTCACTGTGGGCCTCCCACTCTGGTCGTCAGCAGTCCCTGGAGTCTGCCTTTCTATCTCCGTAACCTGCCCTGGCCGGCGTTTCTGTCCCTAGGTTATTGAATGTGTGGGCCTCCTGGTTGACCCCTGCTTCTGTCTGTGCCTCTTTCACACAGAAGCCGGAGTTAGCAGCCTTGTCCCCTTTCTGCTCAGTGCCAGCTCGTGCTTTCCCTTCCCTTTCAAAGTAAAGCTGAGGTCCTCTCTGACCCGTAGGCCCTGCCCCATGCGGCTGCCCCATTACCCATCTCATCTCCTGCTTGCCCTTTCTGCACTCTGCTCTATCCCAGTGGCTCCTTTGCGTGTCCTCACACACTCCAGGCATGTCTGTGCTCCAGGGCGTTTGCACTTTTCCCATTGCTTGGAATGCTCCTTGCCCAGAGAACATGGCCGGCTTCCTGCTTCCTTCAGGTTTTTCCTCGTAAGTTCCCTTCTAAGAGGCTTCTGTGGCACTCCAGCTACACACCCAACCATCTCAGCTTTACCGTTTCTCCTCTCCAAACTTTGCGTTCATCACTAGCTAAATGCTATGTGTTTTACTTAGCTTGTTTGTTTCTGTCTTGCCGCAGTGGACAGTAAGCTCCATGTGGTCAGAAGTTGCTGTCCTGTTCTGTTCCTTCTTCTGTTTCTACTGCCTGGAGCAGTCCTCACTCTGGAGCTGCTCAGCAGTCTCATCCCATGGCTTTGTCTGAGCCTGCGAGCTTCCCTCCTGCTGGTGGAGATGTCCATGTACTGGTCGTTTAGCAGCTGTTCTTATACCTAGTACCTGCTTGAGCTCCTCACCCACTCAGTCTTTCAGCCCCCGCAGGCAGACGGCTTTCCCGCTCTGCTCCCTCTGCGTAGCCTTCCGATCTGTGTTCTGAACACCTTCTTGGTGTTCCATTTTTTTAAAACCTATAGTTTATATTTTTATGTGGGGAGAACTGAGTACCTTATGAACTTTTTTCATTTGAAAATCTCCAGATCACTTATTTCCATTTCTTTTAAAGTCAAGAGAATATTAAATATTAGTCCTGTCTTTCATGAAGACCACGGTATAACAGAAGTCCACTGTTGCTAGCTGTGAGTGAATTATTGGAACAGGCTCAACTAAAGTTGATTGGACCCAGTTAAGTCTTAGATCTTCTCACTACTGCTCACTAATCTTTGTATTATATGTAGCCCCAGTAGGTCACAGTCTTCAGATTGAGGCAGAAGAGTTTTAAAAGATCTTTTTGGTCATTTTTCAAAAAATTGAGTGAGAGGCCCCTTTAAATCTTTTAAATGTGTATTCATTTACTATAACATGAGAACCACTATCACCAGTGACTAGCTTTATCTTCTCTGGCCAGCAGTCTTTAATTATGTGGTGTATGTCTTTCATGAAATTATATTCTTAGATACCCTGTTGTGGGAAATAGCAAGCATAACCCAAAGAAATCTGGGTGGTGGCTGTGAAATGTGTTGCGGGGGTCAGTGTCCATTGCTGCTGTCCTGTGGACCTTCTGTTGTGGGCTTTGTTCCCCTCATCTTTGCTCTTGTGATTGACATTCTCATGCTCTTCCTGCTGAGATGGTCGGAACTAAGGGAGGGGTCCACTCATCCCTGCTTTGTCCATCCCACCAGCTGTGCTCTTCAGCACCAATTCTAGGATAGGCCTGCTTTCCTGGATCATTCATAGTTACAGCAACAAAGTTCGTACTTGTTGAAGGTTAAAAATCCTGTAGGTGCTTCATTCCCTCAGGACTTTCTGTCTTTCCTGTTTGCAGAAGTACATGTCGATGGTTATAGAAAGCAGAATCTCTCTGTTGCTCTGAAGTACCAGTTCCTGCCAAAGCAATGGTTTGAACAAGGACCACATCCCTGGAAAGGTGGCCGACTCCTTGTTCTGAGTGTCTTCTTGTCGCAGTACAAGGCCTGTCTTCCTTCGTTATCTCCTTCCTTGCTGGACTATTTATATCTCTGGTATGATCAGGGCAATTGCCTTTTCTGGTCACGCTGCAGCCACCATTGTTTTTACTGCTGTTCTTTTTTCATTTTGAATAATGACTATTTTTTTCTACATTTCAGATACTTTGAAAGATGTCTGTGCTCATGAATAATTTCATACTCAAAATAACATTTTCCTTTAGCAGCAGCTTATCATACTGATTGTCCTCTTGTTACTTCCCATGAAGAGGTAACCTGTTTATATAACAGCCTTAGAAGCTTAAGTTTGAGGCTTCATGTAAAGTGAATTTAATGGCAATAAAAATAACTCTATGTTCTTTTCATAGAATGGCAGAAAGTATTTCAGTATCTGAGTAATTTTAATGCAGTGTCTCTACACTAAGCTTTTGCCTAAAAAATGGATGAAATCTGTGGAAAATTCAGGCGCTGGCTGGGAAGTGCCCTAGAGATGGAGAGTGGCACACGGTAGGAAAATGAAGAGTCTGAGAGAAACCTGGGGGAAGCATCACGACTCCATCTCGGGCTGCTGGGATGCCCAGGGCCGGCACGTTTCATAGTCCTGGTGTTACTTAGTCATTCTTAGTTTCTTGCATTTTTTTCATTTATTGTATCCTTTTTTATTTTTAAAAGACTGCTTTAAAACTTTGTGTGTGAAACCAGCGAGAAGTAAGTAAATAAAAATGAAGCAGTGTCTCATGGTTATATTAATGTTCACCTTTTAACTGGAATATCTTTTTGACCCTTTTATCTAAATTGTGAATGTAACTAAGTCACACCTGGTATGTCGGAGTGCTACAGGTGTCTGTGTATGCTGTTTTCTGTCTCATAGATTGGCTCACAGAGCGAGTAATCAGCTCCGTTGGATTTGGTTCTGCAGTGTAGATGGAGTCTAGGACTCAGTTGTCTCGGCCCGAATGAGAGAGGCCTCATGTCCAAGATGGAGAAGAAGCGAAGAAAGAAATGAAACCCTCTCTTCGGGCCAAGCCACGAAAGGCCATGGGACTTCACTTTTATTTACATTGGACAAGACTGTAAGACGGTTAATCAGTAATGTTGCAACTCTTAGCCGAAACAAAAATTCACTTCTAACCAAGGAAGACAAAAGTGTGATTTGAATTTATGTGATTTTTATGACCACATTCACCTATGACCATGAAGCTTGTCAACATCTGGCTGCTTCTGCTAGTGGTTTTGCTCTGTGGGAAGAAACATCTGGGTGACAGACTGGAAAAGAAATCTTTTGACAAGGCCCCGTGCCCTGGCTGTTCCCACCTGACTGTGAAGGTGGAATTCTCCTCAGCGGTTGTGGAATATGGTAATGACATCAGCTTACCTTTAGGGCCTCACACCATGTTGTTTTCAAACTTAATATGAGTGTTAGCTTTTGCCAAGGGACTTTCCTTTTCTAATACATTTCAAGTGGGGTGAGTGGGCAGCACCTGGATGTCAGCTTTGCTTCAGTTTGTGTTCCCAGGTTGTTAGTATGAAACAAAGAAATGAACCTAGTTTGATTCCATGGATCACGTGCCATTGTTGCTGGGTGGTTGGGAGGTGCTGGATGTTTGTTCTAAAGTTCAAGTGACCAGATGAAAATAACCAAGAAAATAGTCTGGTATTATCTACTCCACAGTTTTGGTTTTATTTTCAGTAAAATTTACTGAACATTCAGTTCTCTGAGTTTTTCTCCTATTTGAAAAACTGCATTTCTATAATGCATGTTCAAACATCCATAGATACTTGGTTTTTAAAAATATCACACGTGGGGATGTGAGAGGGTGCTTGACAAGCATGTAGATACCCACTTCCCCAAAAATCCACGGGTACATCTGGTTTTGAGTGATGTATTCCATGTGATCAGAGGATTCATATAAAACAAAACGTTGCTGAGTGTGGTGGTGCACTCCTGTAATCCCAGCACTTGGGAGGCAGAGGCAGGAGGACCATTGCAAGTTCAAGACCAGCCTGGGCTACAGAGTGAGTTCAAGGCCAGCCTGAACTGCACAGCGAGACCCTGTCTCAAAAAGACAAATAAATAAATAAATCAAACAAAATGTTTAAAAATATTAAAATAACATTTAAATATATTAAATGTTAAAATAATTTAAAAGTTCAGCAAACTGCTGTGCTGGGCATTTAAATTAGTCTTTCTGTTTTTCATGCTGTGTTTTACTGTGCATTTTAAGATCCATAATTTTTCTTTTACCAGTGAAATTTGGGGTTAGATATAATCTGAATTATATATACATGAATACTTACTTTTATTTGTGGTCATTGAATTTCAGAATATATCGTGGCTTTCAATGGATATTTCACAGCCAAAGCTAGAAATTCATTTATTTCAAGCGCTCTGAAGAGCAGCGAAGTAGACAACTGGAGAATCATACCTCGGAACAATCCATCCAGTGACTACCCTAGTGACTTTGAGGTGATTCAGATAAAAGAAAAACAGAAAGCAGGGCTGCTAACACTTGAAGATCATCCAAACATTAAACGGGTAACACCCCAACGGAAAGTCTTTCGCTCCCTGAAGTTTGCTGAGTGTGAGTATTGTGTCCTCTGGCCAGGTTGTGCCCTGTGTGTGCAGTTTCACTTCGAGGGTAATGCGCTGCAGGAAGCTGAAAGTAGTTCAGGGAAGTCCTGTGTCCCTTCATCTGGTTCACCAGTTGTGAACATTCTTCTGGCAGGCACTTTGTTTTTAAAAAAAAAGCGGCACTTGTTGCTGTTGTGGTAGGGAAGCTCTGAGGGTCTGCAGTGGAGGCTGGTAGGGTCTCTGTTTGTGTTGGAGGAATTCCCAAGGTTCGCACTGGAGACTAAACCCGGAACTGCAGAGCACTTCCCACGTGGAAGGGAAAGACCTGGCCTTGGTGTTTCCTCTGTGCTTGCATTTTGTCCCTGTCAGTATGGCACCGTGGAGGTTGGTTGGTTGGTTTTGCAGTGCTGGAGACTGAACCCAGGGCCTTTGTGCAGAGCTACATCCCAGACCTCTTATTTTTTTATTTTTTTTTTTTTTTGGTTTTCTCCGGTACCGGGAACCGAACTCAC